AGTTCTTTTTTCTTTGCTTCGGTAGAAGATCTATCTGACTCATTAAGAGTCATACGTTTTTAATAGCCACATGATAAAAAATGAAACTTAAATATGTCCTTTCAGTTATTACAAAAAAATGTACTTGTTGTGAAACATTTTTAAGACTCACATCCCTAAAAACGTCGATTTTGAGATTTACATATGGTCGGATAATCCAAAGTATCTGCTTTTAAGCGCACCATATATTTTTTCTTGGATAATAGAATTTGAAAGCTTTTATACGCGATTATTTATTTTCAACAATGAACGTGCAAACAAATTAAAAGATCATGCTATATCCGAAGCACGAAAAAACAATAATGAATAGGGTGCTTCCATCTAGATCAAAGGCACATTTACTTGGCTTGAATCTAGCTTCAATTGATGCTGCTGTAATAATCGGGCACTGAATTCTACGATGAGTTGGTCGATGCAGTGACCGTTTTAGCTAGCGCACAATTTCAATCAGCATGCAGCTAGATAACTGTACCTTTTAGTCTAGCTGCAAGTAGACATTCTAGCTATTTCTGCAGCTAGATTTTTTCGCTTATTTAATCCTACTTGTGCTCGTGTGTTTCTGTTTCATCATAAATATTTTGGATTAATTATTAATCATTACAATGATGTGAGAATAAATATTTGAATGCCAATATTAAATAAATAATTGTAGCCAACATAATTAAACCGCCTACAACTGCACCTCTAATTTAAATTCGTGTAACCGTTTTGTTCATTTGCCAAACTAACAGTCACATTTGATGGCGTATTTATGGGTAATGATCTTGATTCACCTATTGCTTTGATTCCATCACCGAATACGTTTCATGTTTGCTGTTGAGCACCACAAACCGGTTGTTTGGGTACAGTCAGCGTTTGAAAACTAGTATTACTATGTTGTTAAAGCCTATGCTCCACATTCTTTACAAGCGCTCCTTTGATGTATTATCGATAACTCATAACAAACTGCCTTTATTTATTTCCTACGCCCCTTTTTTTGTTTTAAGTCTAATTTAAGAAGTCTAAACATGTTTTGTATTTTTCTCAAAATCGTTTCTTCTGCTTAGATCGTAGTCTCCTTTATCTTAAGTCCCATAAGCTTTGGGTTGGCCATGAATTATAACGTTACGACATAGAAGTGCTCGATCTTTGATTATCATGCCAGTCTTTGATCGAAAAGGATTTTCGTTAAACCAACCCATCATTTTTCCGCTTCTCAAGATAAAACATTTAGGCAATGCTAAAAATCGAAAATTTCAAAGATCATACTCTTCTATGTCATAGCACCAAGTTTTCTCTTAGATTTAAGATCAATCCGCTTAATGAGACCTATTTTTTGGCGCTTGTATCTGAAGTAACTCTGATAAAACGCCAAACTTTTGAGCTGAAAGTTTGACTGCCATGTGCCTTAATGGGACTCACATTTACTAAAAATTTCATTGAGATTGAACAGTTCCCCTCGGAAATAGATTTCTGAGCGTAAGGGTCATTAAGGGAAGAAATATTTAATAGATTAGCACAGTAACAGATGAAAGAGGAAACATCTTACAAAAATTAGCTGACGAGCAACAACTACAATATATCCCTACATCACCTCTTAGTCATCTATTATCCCGTAACACTGATCTAGGAAAGAAACCATGGTAAGACAATAGAAACTCATTCAAATAGATCGTGAGCTGCGTAGAAAGTGATTCGAGTATGCGATAGATTCATACAACGATCAAGGCGCTTTAGTAGATCCATAGCAAGTTCAGTATTTATTTTTTATATTGGTAATAAACTATCATTAATATCTGTGATATTGACTGCGCTTAAAACTCCAAATTTTGTACTCTATATTACGAATAACATAGCCCATGTGCTTAATAAAAAAAAATAAAAAAATACCGACGGTTACCGTACGGTTGCCGGGAGATATACTGCCATAGTAAACGAAAATATCGTCCAGTATACCGGCGGTAACCATGCAGTATGTCACTGTATACCGTCGGTATAACCAGCGGTACCGTCTGATATTTTGTCATTATTAACACGTTGATCAGGAGTTTGAAACTAATTTTCAACTTTCTTCTTTTTATTGTTGAGCACTTGTAAGTACAGACAGGCTCCCGACTGAGAGAAATTTGACTCGAGTCGAGGTTCAAACTTCGACGAGTCTATATGATCTAAAAGCAAAGCTTAATCTGAAGAAGAAATCAAGTTTCTCGAATTTCTCTGTGTTTGTTTTATATCTTCATGGATGCAAAATATAATGGTGAATGGATAAAAACGGTTACCGTGCGGCATTTTCTTAGACCGCGGTCTAATAAGTTATCGTCGGTTAACTGACGGTATTTTAAAAAAAGCTCGACATGGAAGGTATGCATCGGTATCTGTATACCGAGAATATCGATTCTTTTTTACTTGGACATTTGAAATGAGATATTTTAGCGTCTTGGATAGGCAGAACGCATAAAAAGTACTCATCTGAGCATTCTGAGCATGTGCAAATAGAAAAAAAGAAACTTTGGCTTTAGAAAGCAAGCAAGTAAAGCTCTTATTTTGAGTTTCTGATTCTTTCTGGATGTCCAGGACGTTAAAATATCTCATTTTAAATGAAAAAATCCAGAAAAGCCCAAGTCAAAAAAAGGCGGTATCTTCGGTATCGGCATTTCGATATGAATACCGATACCGGTGCATATCTGGAATAACGAAAAGTAGGCTGACTATCAAAAGATGTGTTTTTCTCATAATGGTCGCCTTATTATGTCGTCCAGTTCTATTTTTTTTATTTTTCCGTTAGATTTATATTAATGGTTTGAGATAATACACGCCTGTTGTCAGATAGTAGCTTACGACTTCTATAACTACTGTGAAGAAAAACCTCTCGAGTTATATATTGTAAAATAAATTAAAAAACAAGGCTATCCGGTGTATATGATTTAAATCTAAGAAAATGTTAGTTTTATAGCATTACTTCATGCCATATTTTTATAGATCATTCGCGTTAAACGTGAAACATTTTTCGGTATGCGAATAAATATTTTGGCTATTAAGCATTCGAATAAAAATTCCACCGGACACACTGACATTGGGGAAGGACTTGCAGTAATCTTTACCTACTTGACGAATTTATCGTCAGTGCATATTTAAAGAATGGATTGGAAATTATGCAAAGTCTAAAAGTCATATAATACTTAAAGCAGATGAATAATATTATCTATTAGTATTTACTTTTATTGATTCGTTATTGTTAGTGTAATTACTTTACTTCTCCTTTTTTCTTTCTGCTAATATCATGATCTATTATCGTTCAATATGGATCATTTTCTTTTCTTTCACACATAAGAGTTATAATTTACTTCACATACATCAACAGAGAAAAACTCGCAAAAAAAATGACCTTATTAATGGAACACGTATCCATGTAGTGTTGGTCAAACAACAATAACAACAACAACCCCACTATCTTTTCATTAGCCTTTGTTATTGGGAAAAAAGAGAATATTAATTATCTATATATGACATGCGACTTTCCTTATATTTTTTGATTTGTATGTCGAAAATAGCTTGTGGGAGTATGTATGATTAGTCTCTTTGCAGAGGGTATACGACCTTAGAGTACAATATGGAGAAAAATTAATTGGTTGTAGGAGAAAGACAAAAAATATAAAAAGACAAATATAGAATTTTAACATATATATGACTTATGTTTCAACTTATGTTTCATTAAGACAGGCTAAGAAATAATGGAGAATTTTTAACAAATAAAGATTCCAGTTATCAGCGAATAGTCTTAGTCTAAACTCACAAATAGCTGAAAATAAAACAAATTGTTTTTGTGCTCTATAGCGCAAAAAAAAATATTTAGGGCATATATTGCGAATAATAACTTGACACTATAATTGTCATATTCACGCGCGATAAACTGATTTTCTTGATGTTATGAAATATCTACATACGACTAAAATGATCAATCTCAATAAATCTTGTTGCGCTTTTTCTGCGCAAGATATTCTATCAATAAAAATCGGTAGTCTTGAGGAACCAACAGTTTTTATTCGAAACTTGAAGAAAAGAAAAATTATTTAGAGACCTGGCTGTTGACTAGAGTCTTTTGCCAGAAAATCAAAAACACCTAAGTACATGAACTAGAGTTAGCCTATTAATTACATTAAAAGAGAGTGTAGATTTCCTGTCGTAATATTGTCCTCATATCCTTCTGCTCGAAGGATTGCTCGTCCAGTTAGTGACTTACAATAGTCTTTTAGTTTTTGTATTTTGCTTACGTTATGAATGTAAGAAGTAGATGTGTAGCGCGGCAGTCCCAGTGCTGCTCTAAGGCTCTTGTTTTGCAGGATTTGCAGCTTAGTCCATATTTCTTCGCCTGCTTTTAGAAATGCTGGTGCACCAGATGTTAAAACAGATCGGATGAGAGACTTGAAAAGATTGAGCATTATTCTGTCGTTTGACTGTGGTTGTGATTTGGATAGACAGTGTTTGATCGAAAATAACACCTAAATATCGTGTGTAGGGTTTTGGATGCAGTATTGTTGCACCCACAGCCACCTTGATTGGATTTTTGTATGGTTTACGTGGATGTGGAGTAAAGTGAATCATCGGTAGTCTTGATCCTTCTTCATTAGAAACAATCTAAACAGAAAATTATAGTTCTTGATGAAAACGGTTACCTCCATGTTCACAATAATGAACAGAAGTAAAAATCGATGCTATTAACAGGCTAAAAGTTGAAAATACTTTTGTAGTTGTGATGGTATCAATATTAATTCAAAAATAACTTGCAAAAACGAATGTGTTTATCTCTTTGAATAAATGTACTTACAATAACTTGATTTAAATCTTTAAAAGAACAAATATTTTTCTTTCCATTTAGGCTAATAATCACCAACGTTTTAATGAGCAACGATACATTATTAACAACATCTTTCGTCCATATAGTCTGATATTGTTACTATTTGGTATTTCTTTTAATTTCGATAATGTTTTTTACTGGTCCTCTATCCATACAAACATCATCGAAACGATATGGTCCTGAAGAACAAGAATTCTATCATTTTCATCATAGTAGACAACGATACGGCAGTAACAACGAAGAAGAATTAGACGGAAAAGAAAAGTTCCATCAACATATAACAAGAGAAAAAAATCCCAAAAAATATTCGACAATATCTTCTCTATCAACGAATCGTAGTAGTCTTATTAATGATAATAACAATAATGATAATAATGATGGCACTGGTAAAAGTAACACGATTACTGGTTTAACAAAAGATAATCTGTTTACGTTATTACCAGATAAAGACTGGTTTTATTCTCCGATAACAACATCAACAAACACTAAAAATCATCAACGACGTTCTTCATGTCCAGTGTTTTTTCGTAATACTACGTCATCATCAAATAAAAATAGACGATTTTATTTTCCTGCTATAACTGAAACAATTCATGATAATGAAACTATTTTATTAACAAATGAACAACAGGAACAATCAATGACAATGTCAAATGTAAAAGAAATAGAAAAACTAACAAATAGAATACATATACAAGAAGATGAAGAATCAACAATTGATAGAAAAAAAATGACTGAATTCGATGAACAGAATAATAATAGAACAAATAATGAATTTACACATCGGAAGAAATCAACAGATTTTAGTTTTAATAATGATAATAACCTAAATTTATCAACACCAACAACGTCAAATACGCATGACATCATTGATAAATCCCTATACAATGTAAATAAATATGATCTATTGTTAAAGTCGAATGTCAATAATCCAACATCAGATTATCAGCTATCATTCTCTTCTAACCCAAACCACCAACAACGAACAACACCATTAACAAATATGATTTTTGATACAACAGATGCTAAAACAGCAGGTTATGAAAAATCTATGAAAGATATTAATAATAACAGTGGTGAAACAAAAGTAATGTCGAATAAAGTAGCTAATAACGATATTGTATCAACTCAAAAAATAGAACATTCATCTCAATCAAGTCTCACACCCTTTCAATCACAACCAACCCAAGAAATAAAATATAGTCATCATACAATGATGAATATTAAAGTCATTTTAAATGTTGGAGGCGTAAGACACGAAGGTAAAATAATAGAAATTATAATCTATTCTTAAATTTTGAATAAATTAATTATTTCTAGAGCAAATCAAAAAGAATTAGTTGGTCTGATTTGATATATATTTATTAAAAAATATTTATTTTTTAGACATTTTAATTGAAAGTTCAATCTTCATCAGTGAATAAGAGAGAAATAAAAAAAATATCATTGATTAAGTAAATAACTGATAAAATAAAGATATATAACATTTTTTCCTATGATACGTATGATATATAGCAAAACTGTCTGAAAAATAAACATTTTATTATGCAAAACGCAAGTAAAAGTGTATCAAATCATATCAACTAATCTGTTATTAAAATAAGTGAACATTGTTAAAGGAAAAAATTTGCTATATTTTATTTTCCTTTTTGTTCCAGTTTTATGGCGAACACTTGATCGTTTACCAAATACACGTTTAGGAAAATTACGCAAAGCCGAGACACATGACGACATCATGAAATTATGTGATGATTATGATTTAGATGAAAATGAATATTTTTTTGATCGACATCCAAGATCATTTACATCTGTTATTAATTTTTATCGAACGGGTAAACTACATTTAGTCGATGATGTATGTGTTATATCATTTCATGATGACTTACTCTATTGGGGTATTGATGAATATTATTTGGAGTTATGTTGTCAAAATAAATATCATCAAAAAAAAGAACATGTTTTAGAAGAAATGAAAAAAGAAGCTGAACTACTAAAAGTTAAAGAAGAAGAAACTATTACACAAAATCAATTTTGTTCAATTGCAAGAAAAAAGTAGGCAATAATTATTATTATATTAACAGTGTAGATTCACTTGTTTAATTTTTTCATTTCAGCATTTGGGATTTAATGGAACATCCACATACATCAAAAGCAGCACGGGTACATAAAAAATATAATAATTAATTCTATAGGTTACACCAATATCAAAGCATTTTTCTATAACACTCTACTTTTTGACCATTTTCTTAAAAATGATCGTGAATTTCTCGAATTGTAGAATAATACTTTGAATTTAAACTCATCCAAAATTTATATGTATGTTTCTTTTGTCAATTTAGGTAATTGCTTTTGTCAGTATAGCTTTTATTGTTTTATCCTCATTTACATTAACAGTGAGCACCATCGAAGGTATCGGATGTGCAGCGAACTATACATTATCATCGGATGATACACAGGATAGTACCCCAGTTGATGCTGTATCAGTAGCTGCTGCTTCGGCAGCAGCTGCTGCTGCTAAAGAACACCACAATCACGATGAAACATGTCGCGAACCATTATTTCTATTTGTTATTGAAACATTATGTATAGCATGGTTTACAATGGAATATATTTTACGTGTATTTGCCGCACCAGATAAATGTAAATTTTTCAAAGGTGTTTTAAATACAATTGATTTAATTGCTATCGTACCATTTTATATCTCGGTAATACTCGAGAGTCTAGATACGGGCAATTTGAAAAACATAAAAAGTGTTCGAAAAGTTGTTCAAGTATTTCGCGTGTTACGTATCATGCGTATATTAAAATTAGCTCGACATTCCACTGGATTACAGTCATTAGGCTATACCCTGAGACGATCGTACAAGGAATTATCAATGCTATTGATGTTTTTAGCCATATTCATACTGTTATTTTCAAGTTTAGCATATTTTGCTGAGAGAGACGGAAATGGAATACAATTTAGATCTATACCACATGCTTTCTGGTGGGCAAGTATTACAATGACTACAGTTGGGTAAGTTTAGATTTCCACTCGAATTCGTATCCTGGATGCTAAAGAATATCCTCTGTTTTAGGTATGGTGATATATATCCAAAATCTGTAAGTTAAACTAAACAAATAGAATTGTGCCTATTACTGACAATTTAATACCTTTGTTATGTTTTTTACTTGTATAGTTTTGGGGCAAACTAATTGGTAGCGTATGTTGTGTATGTGGTGTACTTGTAATTGCTCTGCCAATCCCGATTATTGTTAATAATTTTGCCGAATACTACAAAGAACAATTGAGACGTGAAAAAGCGTTTAAACGTAAAGAAGCGATTGACCGTGCTAAAAAAGATGGTTCAATTGTATCGATACACTCACAGTTCTCAAGTACCAATTTATCTGGTGGTGGTGGTGGAGGAGGTGAAAGAACAAATTGGCAAACTAATGTTATATCGAATGATACAAATGATTCATCTGAGAATCGCTCAAAACGAACTGGTACACTGAAATTAACGTTACTCGGTTCAGACGATTTGTTAGATCCTGGATGTTATGAGAAACAACAAAAACAAACACTAGCAATGAATTCTTCAATATCTGCTATAGTGATGTCAACACCAACTATGCCGGTAAAACAATCCGCTCTATTCACAGCTACACAGCAAAGCGATACGAGTTCATTACATAGAAACAAAACAAAACATTTGAGCGATCCTACCAATAAACAATCATGTCAATCGACATTTGTTCCCATGTATGCCGATACGGGTAGGCCAGAATATGATAATATTGAGCGACTGTACTCTCGAGATAAAACACAAAGTGCCGATATATTGACCTTCGACATACAAATATCTGATTATGTTCAACCAAATGACAATGACGAATCGTTATTAAAAATGGACATAAATACAAGTAGTGATAATATTCAACCGCTAAATAAATTACAGTCCAATCGTACACCATTATCAGCTCGTCGGCGTTTACTCAATAACCGTAATGATGAAGATGTCATTAATGAAAAAGAACTCGATCATCTGCTGTGTCATCAACAAACTGACGAACAACACCATTACAATCAGAATATTGAGCAAACAACAGTCGAAAATCCAAATAATAATAAGTTATGAAGAATCTCTATTCATTCTTCGATCACGTATAAAGTCGACAGTCAATCAATCATTATGTACAGTTTAATATGCTCAAACCAAATTCCTATTTTAAACAATTTGTTTTTACTATTTTATTTTGTTGCACTTAATACCTTGCATAATAAAACACCGACGTTTCAGTCAATAGATCTGCTTAGAACCACATAGCTCTAGCAAAGTGAATCTTCACTTTGATAGAGTCAATGAATATATTCTTGAATAATATTTTGAGGTATTCTTATAAAGTAAACACACGGCTTTGGAACGATTAAGGACCTAGCACTGCTAATTCCATCGCATCTGGTACAGTAGTCAAAACCCTACTGAATGTACTCAGCCCTGAGTGCTCAAAGTCGTACTCTGTTGAAAAAATGCGACGAGTACTCATGCACAAATGTGTAAGTAAGTCGTACTTATGCTATGAGTACTTTCACCAGGGAAACGTATGGACATCACACATTTCACCACAGCACTCAATGTCACAACATCGTCATGTCATTCTCAAAACAATGGGTTCGTAGTTTTAATACGATCAGAGAAGTAAATATATATCGCGATTATTCCTCGCCCTACAAGCTTTTGCTAAGTAAAGAAAGAGAGAGTCAGACAAGGTCAGAACAAACTACACTACCCAATTTAAAGTAGAAGCTGGAAAGGCGACATCTTTGAACTACCGTCAGTTTATGAGATTTAAAGTTTTATTCAAAACCTATGTCGTTATATCAATAAAACGGCCCGGATTCATTTTTAGCTGTTTCGGAAAGCTTTTCTTAGTACTTTGATGAAGTGAATCAGCGTAAACTCACTCCGATACTAGCGACTTATGCTTAGGTTGAAGTCCTGTAGTACTCTGGCTCATGGGTTAGTTGTAACTTATTTCAATACTCCTTTTTATAACGATTCGTAGAAAGTTGTCGTAAACCAAAACTGTATAAAGGATAAATATACTAGGCAGATGGTAAATTAAGAAATCAAAAAAACGAAATTTCAGCCTAAGCATTTTAAGCATGTTTTCGGTGTTGATTGCGTGAATTAAAAGATAGAAAAATAGTTTTAGTACTATAATTCAACACAACAGTATAAACAATTAATTTTTTGTTTCAAATTTTCGAAAATGCGACACCTGTTTTCACATTTTTCAGTATGTTGCCCCTATTAACGAATCGTAAAACAGAAAAACCACAAAAATGACTGAACAGAACGGGAATTTATGATCCATTTTATAAAAACATGACAAGGCAGCACGTTGTTTATTTTTATTTGTTCATACGCTTCATCTTCATTAGACCATTACATAGAAAGATTTTAATGAGTATGTATGGCTTGAGGCATCGATCGTTGAAGGAAACCTCGATTTGCAAGGAAGGTTTGAACTGAAAGGATGATGACGAATATTTCGTCAGCTGGTAAACTGGTTTAAATTAAGATATAATTAAGCTACGCGTTCTTCTAGTTTTTAGATCTTTGTTTATTATGGATATTGAGGAAGTTCAATATTTGTCTGAAAATGAATACGTTTCAATTGTTCCAAATTTCTCCCATCCAGTAATTCATTTGATCAAAGGTTCAGTAGGCCCATTTCAACCGACTACACCTCTTAATGTTCCGTTATGGATGGCTATTCATTTGAAAGAATCTCATCGATGTCGATTTATCTGTCCTGAATGGCTAACGTACGATACAATTTCAACTTTATTAAAAGCGGAACAACAAAATGAACATTTTACCCCGATGCCCAATCGTTTTATTTTCATTCTTTCACAAACTATAATGTCTGTGGCGCTCGAAGACATACCAAATGGCGACAATATTCGATTAATCATGAAAGATTTATGGGATTTAAGATTAGCTAAATTACGTACATCCATTGATAGTCTAATTAAAAGTGGCGCACTCTATGCGAAAGTAACGCACTTGACAACAGTGGAAATATGTTTAATTCGAAATTTTCTTAAAATGGCACTTAAACAAATTTATCAATTACAGCAAGTTATACCAGATGAATGAGTGAAACAATCAAATTGCTCGAATATAGTCAGATAAAAACATTCGCTTATTTTTTCTTGTAAATAAATTAATAGAATGATCAAAAAATAAATGTGAAACAGGAGAAGATGGAAACGATTAGACAAGCGACATCGTGCAAACGTTTTTGTGATAAGAAGGTAATGAATGAATCGTTCAAGTTTGATCTGAATATTAAAGACCTATACATAAATGCTCTGAAGTTATCTCTTATGTTTTAATTCACTGATAGTTATGTTCGAAAGATACGCACATACTCAAAGAAAGCCCTACAAAAAAATATTCTATCGGCACTGGTTGTGCACGGGTGCACACCGGTACCGAAAGATTTTTTTTTCTGGGCACCGATAAGCATCGGTGCCAGAAAGAATGTAAAAATCTCGCATCGGTGCGCACCAGTGCCGAAGTTTTGTTTTCAATCACCATGTTGTTTTGTCAATTTCTGTCTATATTAACGCTACAGTCTACTTCTAATATTTCGAATGTCTTTCTGACTTCATCTTTTCCTTCTCGTAAGAGAACTGCCGAGGCAATGCCGCACGGTTTTGGCCTGTCAATGTGGTACTGATCAGTGCCGCTCTCTAATACAAAATTCAGCACAAACAACCATAATAAAGAACGAATTAAATTGATTAAATAAATTATCAGTGCGGCACCGATTTTTGCTAGTGCAGCACCCATGCGGCACTGATTTCTGCCAGTGCAACACCCTTTCGGCAGAAATATAGTGGCACGGGTGCCAATCGACACTTGCTGGACGCGGGTGCGCACCGGTACCAGTGACCGATGGCATGCCATGCGCACTGATTTTTACCAATGTCGCACTGGAATTTTGTTTATAGGGAGGTTTTGACGTTTTTTTCCTAGGAGATCGTTGAGAGTTAAGTAGTACTCAGCAGTACTGTATCGCACAAACGGCTCATCCTCAAAAGAGATGGTAGTTGTTTGTGATGCACTCTCATCTATCTGTCGCTGCTTTTGTTGCTATTATCTTTTTTGATAAATCTGTTCAAGAGAAAAGCAGAAGCGGAATAAAAGTATGGTATATTTTGTGTATATTAGATGAAGTTCGAGACTAGAGAAAACTTGCATAACAGAATTATAAATATTACCGTGGCGTGTTTCTTGACTTTTTATTTTGCACGTACACTAAGATCCATAGGTTGTTCCAACCTAAATAAAGTAAGTCATGTCATCTTAGGGAGCGTTTCAAAATATACTCCGGTAGATCCTTAATTCTTTTATTCCGTTCTGGATGTCGATGTAGCTATAATTAAATATAATTTAGAATTGTCTAATGTCTACTTGTGTTTTATAATTGCATAAACATATAAAGTGTCAAAGTATTTTTGTCTTTACAAATGATGAGGCGATAGATAGAGAAGCAATGTTTCTATATTTTAGAATAAAACACCATTTTCAGCTGAATTTTATCTTTCTAGCCTTCCTCTGAACTATTTTATAAGGTCATTTTTGTAGTAAAACTCGTTATCATCGAAAATTCGAGACTGCTGACTATACTCGATTTAACCATTACAAAAAGTCCCCAAAATTGTGACAGAATGGCTTTCGTGGAGGACAGATCTACCGGAAACTTTTTTTTCAAAGAAAATTGACTGTTGGCCTAAAGATTCTCATATATTACGAAAACGAAATTACTACTGATATTTTAATTTTTCAAATAGAAGAAAGTTTGTATTCACTGTATTTAGCCAACTTTTGTTTTCTTTAATTATTTTATGTATGATACTATCAATGAGAAGTGAGATCAATCACGAAAGCGAAGCATGCTTGATTAGGCTGCTAGAGGAAAAGGAAAGCGAAACGTTGTGTTCTTATCTCGGTTTAGGTCAGAGGTGCAACCGGTACCGGTATGACTTATAACGCGGACCGGTATACCGGTATTAGTATGAGGTATACTCGGTTGATATTGCTGGTATTTTGCGGTAGTGATTTTGTTATTATAAAGAACTAGCGGAGGTACCCGATGTAGAGTGAGTTGCCTTGAACTTTTCCATTTTTAACAGGACCTTCCCCACCGTGCATAAATTGAGATGCTTAGTCACACCGACTATATGATGTGAGAATTTAGTTTATAGCGTGTAAATCTGCTTTG